ATTGTTGTTCACCATATAATATTTAATTATTATTTTATTATATAATAAAAAAAATATTGTTAAATAGTGTAGTAGAATTGTTATAAAATTATATGATTTTTTTTTTTACAATATGGATTTAATATTTTTTTTATGATTTGATAATATAAACAAATTTATACTTAACTTTGACAAATAAAATAAATAAATACTTTAATAAGTATTTAATGTATATACTAAATAGGAATATATTTGGTATAATCAAATACCAAATATAATCAAATAAGTCAAAGTGTACATTTTTATTTGATATTTGATTTTTTTATTATTAAATATTTTTTATTATACTTATCTTTTTAAAATAAAACAAATAAATAAATTAATTAAATAAATAAAATATTATAATACCAAAATAGTAATGACATTTAATGCAGTTGACTTTTCTGGATAGTAAATATAGTAAATAGAATCTCCTTTTATATAAGTATAGATTGTATAATACGAAAATAATAATGCAATAAATGTTGTTGACTTTTCTTTATATTAAATTTGGTAAATGGTATATCTTTTAATATAAGTATAGATGGTTGTTTTGATTTGTTGACCCGCTAAAAAATGTTATTTGGTTTTCAGTTGCTTTGTATCAGCTTTTTATTTGAAACGCTGATTTTGTTGAGGTTAGGGAAAAACAACAGAACATAATAATTTGTAGACTTAAAAATTTGTGAAATGACTATGCAAATCAAGCAGCTGGCCTCGTCGCCTTCTCGTTCAGGCAGACATTTGCAGCGTTATAATCAAGGATTTCGTCAGGTTGTTGGGTATGTAACTTTTTAGGCTTTTGAATTTTATTTTTATTTTTTTCTCCTTTCTTGTCCTGTTATTGGATCCATTTCAGGTTGTCTGGTTTTTTTCTTTTTCCATCTTTTTTTGAGATATTCATTTCATACTAGTGTGTGCCCCGTGCGATGCACGGAAACAATATTAAATTTACAATATTATAAATAAACCTCGAGTTTGAGTTACTAAGTGGAAACTACAGTTGATTCTATTTAAAAAGAGGAAGAAAAAAAATAATTATAAATTAAAGAGGAGGATAAAAAATACTTAATAATTATAAATTAAAGATTCGGGGTCAAACAATGTAAAATTATTTTGTATAAGAGAAAATAAAATTTACATTATTTTGTATAAGAGAATATAAAATTTGGATGTTTAATATTAAAACACCTAAAATGTTATATTAGTATATGTAAAAGTATTCAAAATTTTCTATATTGTTTTTGCAAGATGTGAAGTCATCTACAACTTTTCTAAACAATTTTAGAAGGAAAACATATCTAAAAACATTTGAATTTAACATTGTATAAAAAAGATTTTTCTAGACTGTTTTGTAAAGAAAACATGTCTACAAATATTTAAATTTAACATCAATTATGTATATGTGTGTGTATATATATATATATGTATGTATATATAGACGAATATGTAAAAAGAATGTCTAAACAATTTGTTTAATATTTAAATTTAACATCAATTATGTATATGTGTGTGTATATATATATATGTATGTATATATAGACGAATATGTAAAAAAAATGTCTAAACAATTTGTTTAAAATATCTAAAATGTTATAAGCCTAATTTTCAGATGATACTGGTGTTACTTCCATCTAACAAAATTTGATTACACACAATTTCAAAATTATTATTATACTTTTTACGTTGTTATCGAGGATGTAGCGTTAGTTTATAATATTTGTAAAAATATTAGTAATTAGACCAATGAAAAATAAATGGGCCGTATTTTTTTTTTTAAAATAAAGGATAAAATTTTGAGTACCACATATTTACCAGCGGTTTTGAGTACCAAAAAAAAAGAAAAAAGAAAAACAGATATATACTACTGACGGTTTTTGAGTACCAAAAAAAAAAGAAAAAAGAAAACAGACGATTTTTTTGCATATTCAAAATTGACCAACAATTACTATATATAGAATACATTTAATGATATTGGCGGAAAAAACTTGCTAAATTTATAAAAAGGTTATTCTTTTTATATAATGATAGATTTTGGGACAATTATGTTACAAATTATGACTAATGTTTTGGATTTCCATTTTCCGCAGATGTATTGCGTACAGAATCAGAAAATCCAACAAGTCAACCTCAGTCAACGGAAGTAATACATTGGTTGAAGATTTGGAGGTCCTTTTAATCAGCTCCCAAAAGAGTTCAAAAATGATGTTCCCTAAGTAATAATAATAATAATAATAATAATAATATTTTGATTTGTTGACCCGCTAAAAAAGGTTGCGTTACATGTGTGTTTCATGGTGTCATACTTCGAAACTTCAACATTCAAATTTGCGAGTTGATTTTGGGTTGGATCATATTATAATACAAATTCTATAAAATTCGAAATTCTAGGTTTTTGTATTCATACTCCTTAGATTTTTGTGGCTCTTCCATGCACACACTCAAATACTAAAATGAATACTAATAAATATAAAGATTAAAAAAAATAAGGAAAAAAATCTCTGTGTTTTGAGGATGATTGGGGCGACACAATTGGCTAGTTTGATTTTGATTTGTGATTTTGAAAGAATACAATGACTTTTAATAAAAAAATGTTTATGGAAATGTGGAGAAAAATGTCAAATTACATTGTTAATGTTGGTCGATGATTATATATGGATATATATATATACATTGTTTAGATTCATAATACTCTATATGCATTCTAAAATTGAAATTGTTTCGAGTTTCAAAAAATGGTAAATAAAAATATTGATTACATGTTTTTCACTAATTTAGATTTTGCAGATCTATACTTATATTAAAGGGAGTCTTATTTACCAAATTTAGTAGCTAGAAAAGTCAACAACATTTATTGTCATTACTATTTTCGTATTATACAGTTTTATTTAATATTTGTTTTTCTGTTACGATTTTTAAAAACAGATATGGTCAAATTCTCTCATCATTAATTACTTTCTATTAATTACAATTTATTTATTTATTTTTTTCTTAGCAAAAACGGACCAACACTAATTGATTTCCTTCAAATGTGGAAGTTGTTGCTTTATTTTTGTATAGAAAATTGGGCTTCATTATAGAAATTTGTTCAATTACACAATGAATTTTCTATGATATAATTATTTTTTGTGGGAACTTTTTTTTAACAGAAAAATATGACATTTCAATAAGATTTTCGATTTTTTAAGACTGATCGTTATCATGCTATGAAATTGAACATTCCAATATACCTTAACATAACAAAATATACACGTGGTGTATACATCAGTTAATAGAAATATAGAATCCTCATATTTTTATATATACGTATGTAATTTTTCTATTACCAAATTTAATTGATAGTTGTTGTGTTATGAGTCTTTTTATAATTTGTACTTGGTTGTTGTGATATTTAGTTTGGTTGGTGTAGCAAAAATTCTAATCTATATATATATATAATAAGAATAATCATTACAATGAAAATAAGAAAAATATTGATATTAGAAGAGATTGAGTTCATGACTTTTCTTAATTCAAAGTTGTTTAATTAGTATACAAAATTAAATTCTAAAAAAATATATGTGTATATTTTGTACATTATTTATACACTATTTAATTTTAAATTTATTTACATATATTAAATTGATTATTTATATAAATAATACCAACGTGCATTAAATATATTTCATTACATAAAATAAAAAGAACAAGAAGACGTGTAACTTGTATAACTTTATAAAGAATAATGACATTATATGGCAATAGAGTTTAATATTTAACTATTATATAGTGAATAAGAATAAGTAAAATTGTTATTTTCTCTTATATCAAGGAATAAATATATATAATAAAATTAAATTTATATTAGTATAAATGTGTTAGTTAGATAATATATTAATTATTTTACAAGTTAACCTTAACATGCTCACGTTTAATGTTCTGACTAATAAAACAACGCTGATTAAAAGATGTGAAAAATAGATTACAACCCTATTTTTTTTAGACTTAATGGTGATTAAAAGAGGTGGAAAATAGATGATAACTCTTTTTAGACTTCAACGAGACTTAACGGTGATTAAAATAGGTGGAAAATGGATAATAACCCTTCTCAGACTTAAACGGACAGGGACAGAGCCTGTGAAAATAATTCATTTAATATTTCTCTCCTGTGCATCGCACGGGGTACGTACTAGTAAATATTTATGAGATATTACACTGCACTAGTGGTGATACTAGCGGTTTTGCTATGAAACCATCGAATAGGTCGATTTATAAAATCATCACTTTAAAGGCCTTATTTTACAAAAGAAAATTGAGTAATAATGTAGTTGGACTAGTTTATCACATTCAGCCGGCAAAAAAGGCGTTTGTGTCAGTAAACAAATCACACTTGCGCTACCCGATGTCATTCTTGACACGTATCTAAGAATTTAATACTAGCCACGTGGCACGTACTCAGGAACCGCACTCAATAAATTTATTTAATGAATTAGGGAAAAAAATGTTGAGCTTTGAATAAATATATTATGAAGTGTGGAGAGTAGTATGCAGTGAGTGTTTAAATCAATGTTATCAAAACCGGACCGGTCATTGAACCGGTGAAGTTATTGGTTCAATGGTTCACTGGTCGGACCAGTGGTCGAACCGGTCGAACCGGTTTAACTAATATATAATTTATTTATTTATTTTATATGTATAATATATAATTATATATATATATATTTATCATTAATTTTATATTAATTTTATAGCATATAATGATATTTTTCTAAATAAGAGTTGATAAATCAATATTTTAAGTATAGTTTACCATAAGCAATACTAAATTAAGTTCACTAAAACAATAGATTAATAATTCAATATCTATTATCTAAAGCAAGGCAATCCAAATTACAAATACAAACTACAAAGTCATCAAACATCAAAATATATCCAATCCAACATTACAATTCATCAAACATCAAAATACTCTCTCATTCTTTTCCTTTTGTTTGATTTTTTTTTTATTTCATTAATTCTTTTTTTCAAATTTCAGAACCGGTTCGACCAGTCGAACCGGTACCGGTTCACCGGTTTTACCGGTTTTGAACCGGTTCGAACGGTTCGAAACCGGTTCTTGTTCCCAGCGGTTTAAACACTCAAACCGGACCGGTACTAGGTCCGGTTCCCGGTCCAACCGGTTGAACCGGCCGGTCCGGTCCGGTTTTGATAACATTGGTTTAAATACATAAATTAAAAACAGAGACAACGATAAATAAAATCGTTTTTGTGGAGCCTGTCACTATTCATTAAATTTTTTTATTAATAGATCTGTTTTTACGCGTATTGTATAATTTAGACTTAAACAGACAATAACTTACTTATAAACTTTCCGCTACGAAAGGTATCAATATTTGGTAAACGAGTCGAACTCAAACTCATTTAAAGTTGTTTGGTTAACGAGCTGAGCTCTGCTCGAAAAGAGAAATGTTATATAATTTTCTATGATTCAACTTATTAAAGCTCGAGATCGGCTCGTTAACGCTCGAACTCGACTAATTATTAATGATAAACGAGTCGAACTCGAACTCGATTTCAAGCTCGTTTATTTAACGAGCCGAGCTCGAGTTATGAACGCAAGCTCGAATTTGACTCGACTCATTTACAAGCTTAGTTGTAACAAGTCAACCATTAATCAGAGACGACTGACTAACGAAACTGATCAATATTGTTTCACGAGTCGTGTATAAAGTGTGAAAATTAATTAAGTAAATGCATTGGGTATAAAAAATTAAAAGGGAATACTTAGGGTACCAACGAATATTGCAAAACTATTTAATAAACTTTTCTAACAATCAATAATCATAATTGTCACATGCTAAAGAATAAAAAATCACACTCTCAAATGATTATTACCTTTTTGAACCAAAAACAACGAAACTTCAAAGACCCTACGCTGAACCTTCGTAGAACCCTCTTTCCCCTTTCTCTGCTGCTTCAAAATTTCCCGCTTTTCCTTTCCCTTTTATTCTCGCCAATCGGAATCTTCCCATGTTCGCAGCAAGCTCAACTGACTAAAAAATAACTGTTAAAACGATTATCTATCGAATCAGATCAGATCTGATCGAGCTAATTGTTTATTTTTGTGCTGAATTAATTATTACTCTTTGGAGCTTCAGATTTGGAAAAAAAAAGGGAAGAAAAAGGAGAGGGGTTGAAAAAATGCATGCTCGATACATGGAGACACCCGGCAACATGGCTGCGAGGGAAAAGCGAAGCTTGGATACGAGCAGCAGCCAGGAAGGTCAGCCCGATCGGAAACGACCCGCTCTGTCAAGGTGATTTTTTCTTTAAATGTTATTTCTTGTGTGCGAAGCTCAATCTGATGTATAATGGGGGTTTTGATTGTGGTTGCGGTTAAGTGAAGTGTGGGGGTTTTGGGAGTTGACTTCTTGGATCGAATGTGTTTGTAATGTATGTTTGTGGCTTTGTTCAGTACTATTCAGTTGAAAGCTAGTTATGATATGACGTGTTCTGTTTCGAGTGCACTAAAGCGATGAGAATTGACAAGTTGAAGTTAAGTGTGGTGGCTTCACGGTGTATGAAGACCTAATCTTCAGATGAATTTGTTCACTTAGTCTTAAACATGCTCTATTGAACCCAAGCCAAAGCTTTATATTGTCATTTGAATTTACCTGAATATTTCCTGACCTTCCAAGACTTTGCTAGGCATTTTAACATAGGGGTTCATGGTTTATGCAGTGTGATTGTTGAGGCTCTAAAAGTGGACAGTCTACAGAAACTTTGCTCATCGTTGGAACCAATTCTTCGGAGAGTTGTAAGATCGTAATCCATTTAATAAATTTGTTCCATATATAGAATATTAATACACTAACTAGCCTCACTTAATCCACCTAATGATGTGCAAAAGCTTGTATAAACCATTCGCTTTTCAGATGTATGTCCATTATGCTTCCTTGACATTCTTGATTCTTCATTTTTTACATATACTCATGGATCTTTATTGTAAATTGCTTTTGAGGTTAACATCAATTATCTAATAGTTCATGACTTCCACGTTTCCTTTTGGATAAAACTACTTGTTTCTCATTATTTTAGATGAATCTGCTGCTTAGGTCATTCTTGAGATTAATCTCCATGTTTGTCCATAAATGCTTGTCATTTCTCATGTCTAAACTCAAATAAATGGAAATCGATCTCTTTCCCTAGTGCTTACGTGCAACACCTACATTTTACTATCTTATTTATTGCGGACATGTTTTTCATCGGTTATCGCAATGCATTTTTTGTTTCTAATTTTGTTG